AACTTTTACTAAGGAAAAAAGTAATAGTTTGAAAGTCCATGCGCACAGTCTAAGACAGGCTAGCATGAGTGATTAAAGATCCTGTACGGGTAAAGGTCTTACCTGTACGTGAAGGGGTTGCAAATCATTTATGATAAAGATCTTATCATAATCTATTGGTTGTTATAAGATATCTAGTAAAAGGAAGATACTAGTTTATCTGTAACCACATGAATCAACATGATTCAACTTGTCTGAGATTGAAGTAAGACAAGAAAGTGGTCCCCCCGAGTTATAACGGAAGTTGGAAGAAATAGGATCACGGAAATGCCGTTTCGCGGTTCCCTAGGGGCGGATACAGGACGTATCTAAGAACAGCTGTTGACCCACCACCAATCTGTTGGATTCTATAAGCAAAAGATCATGAGTTAGGATAAGTAAGAATATGTAATTTTTTAAGTAAAATTGATATTTTTATACTTATCCTGACTCATGACGAGAAGCCCTCCCAACCTCCCCGTTGAAGACACTTGAGATTTCACAGCAGATCCAAGTGCATGGGCAGAAATTCAGGAGAGAGTGACAAGTAAGGCTGGTCACCTGACTGTTTTGCGCGGGAAAGGGCAACAGGGAGGTAACTCGTCAGTGAGTGTATTTATACGTCCTCTTCGGGAACTTCGAGGGATTCAAGTGTTCCACTACCATTCGAAAAGGAACGGGAGATAAGCAAAAGATCATGAGTCAGGATAAGTATAAAAATATCAATTTTACTCAAAAAATGACATTTATTTACAAGACACGCCTTTTAACAATTTACATGAAATTTAGTATTGATACCATCTAAATACCATCGAAACTGTAACCATTATCCTTCATGGTTTTAACTCATCAACATTTCCACATAAAGAGTACACAAGCCGCCTTCCAGCAGCTAACGTTCGATAGTGCTATGTTCTCATGGAATTCATGTATTTTTATTCTGTACGTTGTTCAACAAGCGTTATCATATGAAGAGTAATATCCAAACCTGTATCTAAAAGAACGAACCATTAGGTGCATGTATAGGTTTCAAATGACATTGCTATAAAATGATTACAATTGTTTGAGTCACATATTTTTGGCACATTCTTTTAACTTCATGAATAATTATTGAAAGTGTATTTACGATTTGAACAATATGTGCTGTTTTATGCTTTCAAGTCTTATAACTTTTAGTTATTAAAGTATTTTGATATATATTCAGCATCGTTATATATCGAGAGTGTTTTAGGCACATCTGCCAGTTCCCACACTACCCCGTTCATGAATCAGGGTTGATCCTCGAGCATATCAATCGACCATTTCAGCGTCGCTCCTGCTTTTTAAAGACGATAAATGCAAACATTGTACGAACATTTCGAAAAACCTCCAGGGCGGGTAAGGTGTGTCAGTCTTTGCTATTTATCTATTATTATGACATCTCTGCTGCAAGTCGAGTCCACTGTGCGATTCCGGCTATAATTATATCCATGAGTCGGCGAACCACTATCAAGCAGTGATACCAAGTATTCTGGAAAAGGTGACAAGCCTCATTTTACCCAGTCATAAACACATGCAAAAGCAAGTCAAGAGTTCGTCTTGACAAAACTCATGATGGAAGCCGAACTAGGGAATTGCTTCGGACAACATTTTGATACTGACGGCGACAAATTTGAACATATCCTGCACGTTTGCCATAACGTAGCTTGAAAACACGACGCTCGTTGAAACAGACGAGGCAGCGTATCTTGTCTTTTAATTAGTTAACTTGGATAAGTAAGAGAAACCAAGCGGGGATCCGAACAGAAATAATTAATGAAAGGGATCGCTAAACGAATTGCATATAGATGTCCAGTTACCAAAGTGTCCGATCCCAAACTTTAACATTGCTGTTTTCTGAGGTTGTGTGGCATTTCATATATCTTCACATTACATTTGCTACCGTTGGAAAGTTTTCCTGGATCAGATGAAACCATATACCTGGTCAGCAGGTTATGTAACAAATGCCACATGGGTTAAGGAATGCGTAAATCAAAGAACATGTGTGATAATGGTGTACAGCGTTTACTTCACAGAATTTGAAAATATGCAGATCCTTTCACTCACTCACTCACTCACTCACTCCTCCTCTGCTCACTCCTCCTCCACTCACTCACACTCACCCACCCACCAACCCAAAACTCACTCACCCACTCACTCACTCACTCTTGGGCGCCATCATGACCTCACAGCCCTGTTCTTGCATGTTCCAGTCAAGGCACATGACGTCGCCTAGGTATCCACAAGTAGTGTTCACATCGACACACACGTCTGTAGCATACATGGTACACATTATACAAGACGTGACTGCCCATGCTTTGCTCCTGCCAGGTTTCATGACCGTTTCAATGACCCCCAGATACTAGAAGTTCCCGTGGTGGCACTGCTTTCACATTACGACTTACAGCTATGACAAGCAAGGTGAGTTTACACGTGACGCTTTGAAAAAAAGGGTCCAACTAAAATAACAACGTGTCTTTTTGTATCCAGCCTGAACGGTTTGGTTTTAACATTCAGATTTTCATAATTTCAGAGAAAACTTATTTTGGTGTTGGTGAATTCCTTTGTATATCATGTTATGGATATTTATTGCAACACGTCGACATCTTGAATATATCATTTGTCCTGACTTTCTAGACATATCCAATGTAGTTTTAACAACCATCGTTCAACTAATGTCTGACAAGTTGATCACTTTACCATCTATACTGAAACTACACTGACGTACTAAAGAAAGTACACACCTGGTGTTTTGGGATTATTTGAAAAGTGTTGTGATTTTAACTGGCAACTTCGGAATTGGGCACGATATCTGTGGTATTTTGGTAACATATTAGGAAAGTCTGTGACTTATATATCACTGTAAAAACTCTTTCGAAAACATTTACGTCGCTCTTTGTAAAGTTATCCAACAGCACCGGGTGTATACTTTCATTTGTACGTCAGTATATAACATAAGTAAACGTAAGACAAAAGTACGAAATTGCCTTGAGCCTTGAAATAGTCATTGTGACAGGACATTACGTGACAGTGGCGCTCATAATGACTAAATGTCGGAAACAGGATGGAGCAAGGGCCACATCTCTGTAAAAACTAGATATAAGACACATCCCATGATAGGCCCGGACCAGTAACATCAGGGTGTAAAATTTCAGTCCTAAGTTTGAGAAAATTAGTCCTCACTGAGAACTCCATACCTTGGAGGCGGGGAATAATGAGTGTTTGCTGTCAAAAGCTGTTCCGATCTCACTCTGTCGTGTTTGGATTTTGACATGTTTGTGTCTGGAAGAAAAGTATAACTCTCCAGCTAACACGATAGGGAAACCTATTTCCGGTTTGGTGAGAGAACTTTCGGTATTGAGAATGCATATGCCTTGTTCACTTTTAACTTTAATCCCCACCATTCAGGCAAGTATTCATGTTTTTGAATGTTAGTTCATACTGTTAAATTGAATTTAAATCTAAATGTATATATATTGTGTCCATTTGTCAATGTGTGCATGTCTAGGAGAAAGCAGAGAGAGGGTCTTGGGGAGGCCGGTTCGAGTTCTTCTTATCCTGTCTTGGATACGCCATTGGTCTGGGAAACGTCTGGAGATTTCCCTACCTTTGCTACAGGAACGGAGGAGGTCAGTGTTCACGTAAAAACTGTGTAAACGACGAATGTATAATAAAACACTTTCCCGTTTATTTGTGAAACATCCGAGGGATAAAACAGGGTTTAGTCGTCCTTGCCTTGGTGACATTCAAAACATTCCAAAGTAAACGTGAGGATGAGGATTTAAAAACTTATTAAAACCACGGAGAGGTATCAATGGTCGTTCTCATCTAACCGAAAATCTGATTATATGCATGTAAAATCTAAGGGACATTGTAACATCTGCATGTGTGATGTTTAACCTGATTGAAGAACAATAGGGTGAAGTAACATGGGGTTAAAGATTAGTTCAATGACTGAATCTTATACCATTTCAGGTGTTCCCCACAGTAATATTGCTGGAATATTGCGGTGTAAAACTAAAACTCACTCACCCACTGAATTTTATAACTACCAATAGAAGAGCTTTGCCAAGAAACAGACTTTAGTGACAATGTGCCTGTGAACATTCGGTCTTCAGCAACCAATGCTTGTCGCAAGAGGCAATATTTAATTCCCGTTAAAGCTAAAGAATAAACATTCTAAACAATATACAAACATTTAATCCTGTCACACAACTGACGGGATCGGGTGGTCAGTCATGCTTATCTAGTTCTCAAGTCACCGTATCCCAACTGCGTAGATGGATGCGCATGATGTTAATCACTGGAATGTCTGGTCAAGACTTAATTATTTACAGACCGCTGTCATATAGCTGGAATATTAACAAACATCAGTGCCAGAAATTATCAGTAGGTTCTAACGGTACGAATACACTGACAAGCAATACATCGTATATAAGTTTATATATGTTACTGATATACACACATGAACCAATATATATCCTTGTGGGGAATGACCGCCTCAGTGGTGTAGTGGTTAGAGCGTCCGCCCGGAGAGCGGAAGGTCGCGGGTTCGATCCCCGACCGCGTCATACCAAAAGACGTTAAAATATGGTACTTGTTGGTCACTGCCTGGCGCTCGGCATTAATGGTACAACAAGGACTGGTCGACTCGGAGTCAGTATACTGTGTCTGAGTGGGGTATTCATGCTTCACTGCGGCATGGTATCTCAGTGGGCTAGCACTATAAAACCAGCTTCAGTCTGGGCTAGTACAAGCAGCCGCACATACACATACACACGCATGCACGTTGTCATATGAGCGAAATATTCCTAAGCACGACGTAAAACCCAATTTCACCTCACCTCACCTTGTGGGGAATCGAACCCGTGTGGCCGGACCACTTGCCCAGCTACCCTTTTGGACATTAATGACTACAAGAGTGAGATTTCTGTGTAAGAAAGACCACCCGATCCTGTTTTCAGCCACGTTCCTGATCCCTTACGTCATCATGTTGGTGGTGGCTGGTCTGCCGTTATTCTTCCTGGAGCTAGCCGTCGGTCAGTTCGCCTCCGAGGGGCCGATCACGGTGTGGAAGGTCAGCCCTGCGTTCCATGGTATGTACCATTGTTGTCTTTGCAGTCGGTAGTTATCCAGATCTGTCGTAGGATCAGGGACATGTTGCTCTTCAGCCGTAAATGCTCTACACCCAAACACTGGGCATTAGAGACGCTGAACCAATACAATGAAAGTAACTGCGTATATACACGGCAAAGGATACAACGACCCTTCACTAGCTAAGATAAAATAGACAACACTCTTTGGCAGATGAGCGTTCATGCATGATTGCGTTGACCACTGATCACTGAACTAGTACAGGTGTAATACGCTTCCTTGATGATTAAATATCAATGAATATAATTATTGTTGATTTATCTACTCTTACTGACCTCATTATTAATTTGAGTTTATTGATGTATAAACGCGTGACTTCTTTGTGCATAAGTAAATAATTAAATAATCACCTGCAGAGATACGTTTAGGCTGGGTTGGGTGCAGTGGGGTAGCCCAGTGGTTACAAAACTCTGGTTCGATTCCCCAAGTGGGTGCAATGAACCCATATCTGGTTTCCCGAGCCGTAATATTGTTGAAATACTGCTAAAAATAGGTATCGGTGTGAGCCAGTACTTATTCAGTTAGACTAGGTTGGTACTTGTTCATTGATTATTTTTTACACAATGAAGGAGAATACATAAATTTCAAAGTAACAAACTACGTCATGAGGGTTCAGAGGTCATATTACCAACGAGTACACTTGGTCTGTTGAACCCATATATTCCAGGCATCGGGGTTGCTATGGTGACCATCAGCGGCATGGTCTGTATCTACTACAACGTCGTCATAATGTACGCCATCTACTACATGTTCGTCAGCTTCGTCAGCCTGGATGGTTCAGTTCCCTGGGGATCCTGTGACAATCCCTGGAACACCAACTCCTGCAGGACGAGTTATCCGCCCCTAGATCTGATGAATGAAACTTCCAAGATGGACATACTTTTCTGTGAGATATACACACATATATTGCGTATTTGGTATATTCGTAAGAGGAGGACTAATACTTTAGGAAGTCAAATTAATCCGTAAACTTCAGAAACCTGCATCAAGTGTTTTCGGACATTTTGTACATTAGCAAAATGACTTCAAATTATGTTAACTGGACGTTAACCCATCGTCGCCATGTCGTTGACTAATGCCGTCGATGGAATTGTATCCGCTCACTTTTTTAGACAAATATCTTTGTCAATATATAAATTGTTTGATAAAATCTTAAACATATGTACCATGATACAGTTGGAATAGTAGTTGACTCAACAGAAACTTCGTATAATCTTTATACACTTACATTTATAAACGCTGCCCTATCAACTGATCTATCTCTGCTACTCTCAGTTTTTTAACCAAACACTGAATCGTGTTTAACTGCATAACCTGAACCTACGTGTTTAAGAAACATATGTCAGTTTTACGATACAATCCTGACAATGTCCTTATGTTCCAGCCGAGCTGTACAACAAAGACTGTGTAGTGTCTCTACTTGATCGCATCTCCATCAGTTTCAACAACACCTTGACCGACTTCTCGCAACTCAATTCATCCATGATCGTACATGATGCTACAAAGGAATGCCGCACACGGTTCACCTCGCCTAGTGCCGAGTATTGGGAGTTAGTAACAATACCTTTACACTTCAATTAACTTTTCCAACAGTCATCTTTCCCTATATGAGGAGCATTGATCCAGCAGCCCCAGCCTTTTGGGTCTAGATTTTGAAGTTAAAACGTTCATGTCTTTTCTCAAATATCAAAGTGCTTAATATACTCTGCAAAATGTTCAAAAGAGACAAGCAAAAGTGATTAGGGTTGTATGGTTTTTTTCTGTTTTGTTTTCTGATCATTTTTATGTGGAGGGCTTGGGGTGGGGTTGAGGGTTTGTCCCGGGAACAACTGACTTGAATTGAATCGTTATGTTTTTATAGTCGGAATCATCGTATTGTCGTCTCTGCTTTTATTAAACATTCTCTTGATTATCAAATATTGGACCATTTTCATATTCTTTTAAGACATCTGGGGAAAGTGGATACATTATTTAAAATACACAAAAAATCAACACCACTTCCCCTCAACACACAATCACACCCCAACCCCACACCCCAACCCCTTCACCCACACCCCAACCCCCACACCCCTCAGCTACATACGACAACAACTAGGAACGAGTGAACCGAATAATGTGTTTAAAATGTGTTATTTTCATATTCAGATCTCATATTCTCATTCTTTCAAGCCGTCACTGTATCACTGTATTTTCAAGGCGGCATGTGCTCCGTCTTCACGAAGCTGATGGCTTTGAAGACATGGGAAGCATCAGCCTGAAAAACGCTGCTAGTCTCGTGGTTGCCTGGATCATAGTCTTCGCTTGTATCATGAAAGGAATCAAGTCCTCTGGAAAGGTCGGTGTCAAGCAACAAATTTAAACAATGTAAAGTTAGTTCAACGTAATATTTACTGACGGTTTGACACACGTGTATATGTGTGTATAGGAATTCGTCTTAAGGCTCCTATTACTTCCAGGTCGTGTACTTCACCGCCACCTTCCCCTACATCATCCTGGTGGTCCTGCTGGTCCGAGGCCTGACTCTAGAGGGATTCGAGAAGGGCATTACATTCTACATGACTCCACAGGTCCACAGGCTGACTGAGGCCAAGGTAAGGAGATATATATTAAGGAATAATCAAATGTTCTTGTAGATATTATAATTACCTAGATACAGTTCCATAGAGATAAGGTGCTCATTCATTTTTCAGCAGAGCTCTTAAGGCACTTTCGTAAACTCTAAAATCGTGCCACGTCTAATAATATAGTAAAACGTGATTCATCTAACAGGTAAACAGCACATTTTGCTGTCGGGTAAAAGGATATGGATGAATAAAACTGCAAACATTTCACATTCATGAAAGTTATAAGTACTCTTAGACATATATCAGTATTGAAATTATTATTGCATAGGAATTATGGCTAAAATGTCAGAACTGACTATGGATTTATATGTGTATGTTTTCAAACGTGCTTTGGTCTTTTACTAACCATATTTCCGTCTGCACAAGCCATTTCTCAAAGTGAGATAACTCTCAACCGTTACTTTTTGGTCAGTCAGTATTTTTGGTTTGGGATTATTAGATGACGTATGTGATTGAGAAGACTTACATTCCAAAACATGTTTTCAGGCCACTGGTTGTATCAGCACACATCATGAAGATATATGTAAATTGTAAACAAATGTTATGTAGAATATTCGAATACAGTTCCACTTACCATGCTTTGTACTGTCCGCTGCAAGTACATCTGTAAGCCAGAAATCTAGTTTGTGCATAGGCTAAGAAAACAGGGGCTAATCGTTTGTGGCTTACTATTACTTCCAGCTTGTGTTATGGTGCGGAGGAAGATGTCGTTTCAAACACGAGTACTGTTATACAGGTATGGGGATCATTTCACACACGAGTACTGTTATACAGGTATGGGGAGACGCAGCCACACAGATCTTTTTCTCTTTGGGTGCTGGATTCGGGTGTCTGTTGACCATGTCCAGTTACAACAAGTTTAAGAACAACTGTGAACGGTGAGATCTTGTGCGTATTGTTGGGTTTAGTTATAGAATTAAAACAGTTCCTGGACCGTTTCTGTTAAACTGTCAAATTGAGGCAAAATATCACAGGTGCGTGCGTTTTCTTTGCAGATGTTCTTCCAAATTTTTATCGAGAAATATGTGGTATCGAATAAGTGTAGAATATATTGTATTTAACATATTCAATTGCTTATTCTTTCAGGGATGCTCTCATCGTCGCCATTATCAATTGTTGCACCAGTGTGTTCGCGGGCTTCGCCATCTTCTCCCTCCTGGGTTCCATGGCCCACACCACCAACAAGGATGTGGAGAGTGTGGTCGACCAAGGTGATTACCAGTTCAAAACTTTCGACAATGTTAAATATAGAATACCCCGTCTTGACTGTCCTCAGAAACTGATTCCGTTTGGTGTAAAGGGAAAAAATATCTGTGAAAATTATATGAATGGATCACTGAATATTCGCGACATATGTTTACGAAAAGGATATCCATGTCTGTCTATAGATCCTATCACTGCTACTCGACCTATTTAACCAAACGTTTTCAGGACCGGGTCTAGCTTTCATTGCCTACCCAGAAGGCATTGCGCAACTTCCGATGTCACCACTGTGGGCCTTCCTGTTCTTCTTCATGCTGTTAAACATTGGCCTCGACACTCAGGTTAGGAACTCACTCTTAAATGACTTGAGGACTCGAACTCGGGTCTTCGGGGTGGCGCGCGAACGCTTTAAAGACGAGGCTACTCAATCGCCCTGTATGGTAAAGAACACATAGGAATTCAGAGACCATGAACACATGAAAGGCATAATCCAAGTCCTGCAAGGAATTAATTATAATATACGATACGAACATGTATAGCAGAACTACATTTAGCTGTTAAAGAGACGTTGATTTCTCACTGAGATTCTGGATGTCATAATCCTCCCAGCTCATTAAGTTTTTGTGCTGACTCCTTGTGATAAAAATGTAAACCTATCAACCTCAGTTCGTCATGATGGAGACATTGATCAGCGGCATTAGTGACATCTTCCCACGTTTCCTGAGGACACACAAGGCTCCGTTCGCTGCATTCTGTTGTTTTGTTGGATTTCTACTCGGTCTGCCCCAAGTTACAAAGGTAGGCAGAACCCAACTAGACAACAACTAAATTTATTTCATGGCGTGTTAAAAAATGTCATAAAAACAAATTTATAGTTGTACCAAGGCACCCATGCGAAAGAAAACACAGAGTGCTTCATCATTCATTCGTGTGTGAACACGGCGTTTTGTTGAGATGAGTTGGATGATGCATTGACTTGTGTTGTTTTGTTGTTGAAGTGAGTGAGTGAGTGAGTGAGGTGAGGCTAAGTGGAGGTGAAAGCGAAACTGTATTTACGAGGAACAAAAATCTCTCTATAAACTGTCTGACAAGAGGGAAATCAATATTACGACTGCTCCAGGAGCTCTGTCTATGGAGATTTCATATGATTCATGTTCAAGGGCTGTTTCATTAAGGCTACAACATACAAAGCTTTTGTGAGGCTTTCCTAAACGTCTGTGGCAGGACATGGTAGGACAGTGGAGGACATTACCACAACATATGTCCGATATACAAGGGGTTGTGGGGTTCACTCGTCAGGCCGAAGACCCGGGTTCGATTCCCCACATGGGTACAATGTGTGAAGCCCATGTCTGGTGTCCCCTGATTGTCTGTTTGCTTGTATACCGTTATCGGAATGTAGAAGTACTGATAAGCAGCATGCACTTACTCTTTAGACAAATTGTGTGAGCGGCAGTTGCTACCGGTCCTCAAGACAATGTCACGCTGACCCATCTCGTGAACACTTAGTGCCACCACTTGTTTTCAGTGATACATTATCGTTAACTCTACTTCATGCATTTGACGCCATGTGGAATTCGTTTTCTGCAGATAATCGAGACCTTATAATTTCATTTTTAATACAAGAAATATGTTTGATATGTAATTTTATAGTAGATGATTATGAATAAATCCATGGCATAAGAATAATGCTTATAAAACTAAAACACTTACTCCCCCAGGGTGGTATCTACATGCTGACACTGATGGACTGGTACAGTGGCAGCTACAGCGTCATGCTGCTGGCTCTGGCGGAGATCATCTGCCTCATGTATGTCTACCGTAAGTACTTCATCTTCTCAAGCTTAAATATAAGTCAAGGTGCCCGCGAATGTCATTACACTCATCTATTTACAGTTTCGTTTGGCTACACGTTCAAGCAGTAAACTCTTTTCACTAGCCCCCAGTGTTGAACAGACGGAACTTTAACGTTAATGAACGTACGGGTAAACACAACGGAGGTTCCTGTTCCAGATTTTTTCTCTGATGTGATATCACTCATCAAGAACTGGAAACCCCTCATGAAAGGTCACATCAATCAAATTTTGACCGCCATAAATCGGATTTGAGGCAATGGGATGTTATCCTTTTAAAACAAATGTGACTCGCTTGATAATTTTTTTTCCACTTCACAAATTCGGAATAAGAGTCACTTTATCGATACAGAACTCAGACTGATACATTCGCTTATCTTGAACATAAAAGTAGCCTTCACTGATGGTGTTAAGAAAGGTCACATCACAGATGTGTCGAATCGGAGAAAAAGGTCAGGTTTAAATCAAATTTATCTATTTATCAAACTTCCAACTTCACCTCATGTTTATCCTTATGTTGTGATTGTTGTAAAATGCTGTACAATACTTTTGTTTAAATGATAGATGTTGATATTGTATTTAGATAGGATTGTGTTTATGATAGCAATGACATAACGCAATATTTAATAACCATTTTGTCTAAACCTCAGCATCATGGTCGATCAAATCCTCACTCACTGGTGACCTTGACATAGACGCACACCTGCTGACCTTAACTTTACAGTGATCCATGAATGTAGGTTCTGTACAGTATTGCTTCCTTCTTATGTTAACATCAATACCCGTATGTTAATGATGGGTTCTCTCTGTATACAGTAAACTTCGGTTATAGTTTTACGCCGCACTCAGCAATCTTCCAGCTATATGGCGGCGGTCTGTAAGTAATGGAGTCTGGACCTCACAATCCAGTGATCAACACGGTTATGACGAACTTAGAGCACCACCATATAGTAGTTCGTTACAATCATAGTTTGATTTACTTATTTCGACTAAAATATACAGCAAGGGTTGTATGCATTAGTTCGTTATAGGCGGTTCGTTATAACCGAAGTTTATTGTATATCTGTACACACGAATGTGTCAAACTCAGGTATTAGGTAGAAGAAGAATAAATAATTCCAACAGAAGAAAGTTTTTCACTTGTCGTAACCATTTAAGCTTTGGTTGGCTGGTTCTGGCCTCGGGATGGGAATAGGAAAAGTCTCCTCCCGTTCATGGAGGACATCGAGATGATGATTGGCCACAAGCCCAACCCCTACTGGGTCATCAACTGGGTCTTCCTGACTCCTGTCGTCATCGTCGTAAGCGCTGAAACTCTTAGACGTCGCCAACTGCTTACACGTTTGAAACATACACACCCGTGCATTAATTAAGCACCACCCTATTTTGAAAATAAGATGTGATGCTACAGCCATTAATTTTAAAAGCGTGTAGTTGAAGAAGCCTTATCCACTGACAGTTTTACAAATACCATAACTTTTTCTGTTCTTTATGAAAGAATATGTTTTTGAAAATGTGATTGGACTGAATTTTTACCCAAAATAACTATTCCTTCAATGCTCAAACTATACAATTAAATTAAGTTTTGACTAAAAATAACAATTCTGTTATATACCAAGATGACATTTACACATCAATTAGCTTGAATTGTGCATAATCAGGAAGAACCCGAATGTCAAAGATTCAGACCTTTTTCCAACAATTCAAATTGCTAATTGACAAAAAATGAAAAAAGGCCACATTAATAAGATTTTGGAATAATTGTTTATGATTTTGAGTTTATTGTAATGAATAAACACTTCTCCTTGCCGGATACTGATAATTACAGCTAAAATCTGTTTGTTTTGTTTGTAAGCAACTTTTACTGCATTTTAAAATTTTCCTTTTTTTTAGTTTGACCGTAACTTTTCCTCAATCTTAGTTTATAAACTTCCATCCATTCACGATAAATAACGAATTTATAGGCCACACAACAATCAATTATTACTTTCACTTTACAAAATAAGGGAACTTGTTTTAGGACAGAAAAACACCTGTTTTAAACGTAGGCAATTATCCTAATTAAAGTACTTGGTAATTTCAATGACGTTTTCGTTTTTGAAATGTTAAATGCTAGCTCTATCAAATTACAATGGTTATTTTTGGGAAAGAGTTTCGAATTTCATTTCGGACAAAATTAATTGGTAAAAATACAGGGTGGTGCTTATTTTATGCACATATGTAAATATGGTCTTCTACATAGTAGTTGCTTTTTACCAAAGTACCTTTTAAAATGCTACTTAAACTACGTGATCATTGAATACTTTTAAAGTTCATTTTAAATGTATACGTGAATATGTAAGTTTTATATCTGCTGATAATGTTAAATATTATAGCTATTTGTTCGTCACGATCCTCATACAATTTCCTTTTTAGCAGTGATAAATTATTTCTCAATAATAATGTCCAATTACCACAGCTTTAATTTGGCGTCATAATGGTCAATACAGAGGAATGTTACATATCCAAATATTTAACATTTTAAAAAAACTCTCTTAGATTATTTCTCCGATAAAGGTTTGGATAAATAACATGTACAAAAAGAGTTTTAAGCATGTTTTCAGAGGCAATAACTGTGTGACAAATACAAATGCTGTTTCTATTTGAAGTTCATCGTGATAGTGTCAGCCTCTCAGTACACACCGGCCTCCTATGGTGACTACATGTTCCCGCCGTGGGCTGAGGCGATTGGCTGGTGCATGGTTGTCGCCCCTGTTGCTATGATACTCCTCGTCATGGCTGTACAAGTCTGCAGATTGGGAATGGTAATTATGTTATTAACAACTGGGTTCCGATGTGTGATGAGTAACAAACCACATACAGGAGATTCATGTGCCGCTGTGGTTTGGCTAGCCTAGTGGTTAAAGCGTTTACTCATCAGGCCATCCACATTTTTTTTTATGTTTCTCATCTCCAAACTGGTGCTGATGAGGGGCGGGCGGGCGGGCCAAACAAAAAAATTAAAAGAAGAAAAGAAGCAGTTTGCCATATTCTTTTCAAGCTGGTGACAGAAAATGACCCTCCTACACTACCCAGACCATAAAAAGAGGCTTTTTTTATTGTGAGAATCCCTTTTTCTCAATTTTAGACAGTTCATATATCATTAAACATAAGGAAACTATATGGAATAATTATGCTTCAAACATTTAAAAGAGCCTCTTTAAATGTCACATTGTATCAGAATACAACAAAGTCAGTTCTTCAAAACTGGCACTTTCTTTATTTTTTGAGCGATTTATCACTTTTTGTATTATTTTTGGCCACCGGTCAAAGGCTGTTTTCCACTGGTAGCTCACTGGTTGCAGGTCCACAGTTTGTTTAATTTCCAAGCTCAATACGAATTAACACGATAGAAGATAACGGGAAAACGCCATGCAAAATCGGTATATTGTCACGGTATTACCTACGACAGAACACGAGACAGTGTAAGTCTCGGGTGTCATAGCATCTCTGAAATAATGTAAACTCACTTTATATATCAGCCCTTATGTTAATTCCGACGGCAATTCTTCAACTATTGCCGCTTTCAAGTTTAACAAATAGTTCTCATACGAGGCACTGGTATCGCTTCATTATCCACTGTTTTAATTCTTACTGTTACAATCACAACATTTCATTGGTTTGTCTTGAGTTTATTTAATGACACACAACCTGTACGAAACTTGTAATACACCCTACGCTACGTGCTTTGATAGACACATGCATGCAAGTCGGAGTCGAACCTTCCACTCCTCTTTAGCAATGATGTCTCTGGATGGGCATGTGTTGTGGCTTTTGTTTGACGGAGCACTTATCTCATCCATTGATACGTCTAAGTCTTATAAGGTCAGAGGCGCTGGGGGAACCTAGTGGTTAAAGCGTTCGCCCGTCACGCCGAAGACCCAGGTTCGATTCCTCACATGGGTACAATGTGTGAAGCCCATTTCTGATGTCCCCGTAGTGATATTGCTGGAATATTGCTATAAGCGGCGTAAAACTAAATTGACTCACTCTACAAGGTCAATAGAATAGTATATTATGTATATTCCAGTTTCCATCTCTGGTGTGTAGCGTATTCTGCCACTTAGCTCTGGCGGCTGGTGTCATACCTCCATAAGTAGTGTGTGATCAGTTGTGTTCCTGAACCTAGCTACGTCCGCTGATCGAATCATCCTCATTTCTATCCATGTTTCAGCGGCTTGAGATTTTTAAACATTTGGCCATGTTTGGAGTTCCCCAGGTTAAGCTAGTACCATACATTACACTTATGACACATTCACATTTTGTTCACACAGTTGAAAGCCTTCAGCCCAACACAGGGCTGGGGACCTGCACTTCCGGAACATCAAACGGGGAAATACGCCAGGAAGGCCGATGGAACTGTGAAGGATTCAGACATGCCCAAAGTCATTAGTGTTAAGAGGACTGGGAGCGCCACCTACAGTACCGGTGTAGAAAACAAGGCATTCTTCACCAACATATCCTAGCCTTACATTGTTGCAGTAGATGTCATAAATTTGTTTTACAACAAATAATATGTTGGTTTGTTTGGTTTTTTGGGGGTATTTTTTTCTTTAAATAAATCATTGGGAATTGGTTATTCCTTCTCCGTATTTCATCAAATGAGCATTCAGTCTGCATCCATGTGATATATTTCGTTTAAGAGCATCTGTGTACAGTGAGTTCAATTAAAACATGCTTATGCAGACTAAATCAACAGCTAAGTAAAAATTGTGTGTCATATGATTCATACCATGTTTTATGCTGTTATTTGTTGTTATTTCAAATTGGAACAATAAGTTAACCTTGAAATCTGTACACAAGAATTCATTGTGAAATCACCTATTAAATGATAAAATGAATTAGGTTGTAATTTCAATTCAAATTACTACGAAGTACTTACAAAAGACACACACAATAAAGTGTCATTACAAAATTCAAGGGCAGTAATATTACAACCAGAGCCTTCTCAGCCAACGCTCGTATTCTCTGGAACTCTCTTCCTATCAACCTTAGATCCTGCACTTCACTAGACTCTTTCAAGAAACAACTGAAAACCTACTGACCCTGTAAAAGCGCCACTAAGCAGCATCGGTTGGACATTAGGAGCTCAACAAGTGCATTACTATCATTAATAAGAGACTACATATGATAGCAGTAGCCAGAAGTAGTTCTTATTCAGTAATAACCATACTCGCAATCGGACCAGGTTGGTTGGTTTGTTGTTTAACGCCGCACTCAGCAATATTCCAGCTATGGCGGCGGTCTGTAAATAATCGGGTCTGGACCAGACAATCCAGTGATCAACAGCATGAGCATCGATCTACACAATTGGGATACGATGACATATGTCAACCAAGTCAGCGAGCCTGGCCACCCGATGCCGTTACTCGCTTCTTAAGACAAGCATGGGTTACTGAAGACCAATTCCTACCCGGATCTTCACACAATCACTGGACTTGATGTTCTGGCCCCATTGTATACTTAAAACTCTCCAGAATGTTCTGTATATTGACAGATGTGTATACATGCCGTTCTTGAAACTTCCACACCAATTTAACCTGCCAAATTGTCTATTATAGCAACTTCCACACCACTGTTTACATAAGATAACAATATATTCCTGACCTACTATTGTTAAAACACTGTAATGAACTTAATTGGATCGTAACAGAAAAAATGTAATACAATTACAATGTCTAAAATAAAAAAAACTATTTATGTAATGAGTGTAACTGTGTATATTTTTAACTGCATATATATTTACAAATAGAAATATTCGAAGTGAGTAAGTAAGGAATCTGAGGATGTCGGAATACCAAACCATGTGGTGAGCGAATTTCATTAAATTGCAATTAGTATTTCAGTCATATCGTGTCAACATCATGTAAAGTGATGTATGATCTGGATGTATAATCAAACATTATATCCACGTCCCTTGGCCTGATTATTCCCGAATAAGAAGAGGAACGATTACAGTACAGTAGTGTACGGTCAGTGGTCTTGTGGATACAGTGCAGTCGCGGCGAGACACGGGACAAAAAGGTGTCAACGCGTAGAAGTGTCGACAGGGGAACTAACTCGAAATAAAACGTTGACGAAGACAAAAGAATATGTCCAAACGTGTTTAGTTGGCTATACAAGAAAAGACAAACAAATACCCAAGACCGTTATGAGCTGGGTTGTCGGCTCAGACATAAATGAGGTGAGCGGAGCTCCAGCTCAACCCCAGGGCGTTTCCTACGAGCGGCATTATCCTGCTGGCGGTCGTCGCCACAGGCAGTCGGCATACCGGACTAGTGACAGTATAGATGTGAGCATTTAGTTATAGACAATAATGGACAGACGAAGAGACAACAATAGACAGGTAGAGAAACAATAGCATTGTCTTGGACCAGTCCATCTAACTGGAGACACGGCCAATTGGATGACCAATTAGGCTATAAATGTCATATACAGTAAATAATTAGTGGTACAGGGATGTCTGCCAAGTCAAACTACACCTGTAGTATTAATGCTTAAAGAGGAAAGTTGGCCGGGGAGTTAGGGAATATAGCCGTAGGTAGAGCAAGTACTCAAAACATAGCGTAATTAAAGCATCGTCAGCTCAAGTCAGGTTATTTGGTAAATAACAAGTGTAAAAAGAAAATGAACAACAGCAAAGATTCAGATTCCTGTGCTCGCATTAAGTTCGTAACGCATTTTAGACTAGAACCTCGCACTCGCATTAAAATCGTGACGCATTAATTTCATGATTTACAGTATACGTTTATGTTTACGGAGGGCATTTATGAATCACAACACGCACAGAATCACCTATGACTGCGTTTGCACGTTAAATCAGTATGTACAATTCTTGGATTATCACAACGCGTTATTTGACAAATTTACATATATACACGATGCGCGACAGTACCAATAACATCAGACATGACATTATTTGGCACGCAATGATAGAACTAGGATATAAGAGATATTGAAATTCATGATGATCATATATTGCATTAATTTATGTATTACGCCAATAGATTTGACGTTCATCATTGGTTTGCCATCGTGCGCATCAAAGCATAATACTTTCAGTATCTAAGTAACAATCACTGTAACAGTCGAACCTTAGATATACAGATTATACAGATGTTTTATCATTAATTATATAGCCCGATTTACCTTCACTTTGAATATCGTATTCAGCCGACGTAATTTTTAAGGCCTGATACATAATTAGATATAGATAGCTGGAAAATGGACATGTATATCTGTTGGTCTTATCTGATAGTATTTTGTTTTATTCCAGCATCTTGTAGGAGGAAAAGGACCGAGCTGAGAATATCCTGACCCAGTGCCTGCAGACGGAGCCTGCCCCAAGCCAGTCAGGAAACTACCCCTGAAACGCCCAAGCCAGTACACTCCCTGAATGTCGGATAAAAAGCAGAGGTCATCTCTTGTCGGAGAGAATATTCACATGTGTGTATTTAAAAAATTACACAAATCAAACTAGATGCATTCTTCAAATTCAATAATGGAAAGTACATATATACCGTAGGCCTAAATCATAATTGTGGGATAATTATTAATATTTCTGGAAATGTATGTATGCAAATTTATTTTAAATAACTTCAATCAAATTTTAGGTTTCATTGCTATTTCTATGTTTTTCATATCTTTTTTCAGAGTGCCCAGAGTTTCCATTATCCCCTTATTCATTGTCATCATTTTTTGTGTCTGTCTGTAGATGTATGTCTATTTTCATTATGTAGTGTAGTCGGTTCTCAGAGAGAATATTGACTTGTATATGTTTCACAAATTACACACATCAGAGTAGATTCATTTCCGTTTTTTAATGATGGAAAAATACATGTAAATAATATTCATAATGACAATAAATAATAAACATCACCATAGTCATGTCAAACATTATTCATTCCCTTTTTTCAGACTGAACACAGGAAAACCATCCACCCAGTCGACTGCTTCAGTTCAGATATTGTTACCCAATGACCAAGCAGAAATTAAGTCCACTGACTTCCTGATCAACACATCTACACAGACTGGATGAAACATGTATGTATATATGGAGATTCTGTGTTCATTTTATTCCTCGGCAGTTGCATTCTTTAGGTAGGATACCGCATGATCTCTATAGAACATGGCTAGTTTCATTAACATTGACTGCATGAAAGCAATATCTGGAGTTATTCTCTCCACATGTATGTCCAGTTGAGTGAGCACAATAAATTCACAAAACTGCCCCAGTAACCATCAACTGACCTTGTACTTGTGCGTAGTGATGGTGAGATCTTCTCAAAGAAATTACACCATTTTCCTTTGTAAGGAAAAAGTCTAAAGCTTCACAAGCATTGTCAATGGTCATGTTGCGTGCTCAGTAGGGACATTTTGATCTCAACAATCCCACTTTCACCATTGTCACAAATCTTGCCATCAGGTGTTGCTCCCAAAAATGAAAACTCATTGTTTACAACAAACCCGCAATTGTCTGTCTGGATATTTCTGATGGTACCTTGCCTTAGCATCTTTTTCATGTTTTTTCCCATATTCTAGTGATTGTGCGTTTATATTTCTTCTAGTGAAAATAGAGTTCAAGAAGCCATGATTTGGTCTTTCTTTTCTGGACAAAAGCTTTTCAAAACTTGATGCAGTTAGACGTTTCCTGCGTTCATCAAACCAGGGTTCCTTACAGATTGTATCTGCATCATTTAGATGAGCAAATTCCTGGGTAAGCTTCACTGGTGGTGGCAAGATAACACTGGTGTTCCCACATATGTGTGTAGTTGGTGTTACATTCTTGATATGTTTGATCTGAAATTATAAATAAATCATTTCAAATATTTTGTCATTTCAGGGATATCAGCAATGGACATACAAGCTCTGGCAGCAGAAAAACATGATTTGAAGCAACAATTACAAGTCAAGAGAAATAAGAGAGTTGAACATCAAAGTGGCATCACATGAGAAGACAATTCAGGAATTACAGAGAGAGCTTCAACAATCATCATTATCTTCCATAGATGTTGTGATCACCAGGGGTAAAAAAATCAAAAACTTATTCAAACACTATACAGGTGTTACATATGTGAGATATCTCACACTACTAACATTTCTGCTACCCCAAGGAGAGGACATTGATTATTCATCAGGGAGAAAAGACATCAAGAGACTTAAACCTCAGGATGCATTATTGCTTACTGTCTGTCGATTAAGGCATGGGTTTGGACTTAAAGACATTGCAGTTCGCTTTGGACTAAGTCCTCAGTTAGCAGGTATCATTCTCAACACATGGCTTGATCTGTTATATTTCAAGCTAGGGCAGATTCCAATATGGCCACACAGGGATGATATAATACAACATATGCCTTTCTCACCCGATCCATGGCACGTCTATAAATATAATACAAATATTGGTTAAATTGAAGATTTGATAAATCAATACAATAAGTACAGCGCAAGCTGGAAGAACATGGTTATATGCACGAAGGGCACTGGGGGTGAGGATCAGCCACGGATAACCTGTGCCCGCAAACACTGCAGGATTTCATGAAATGTAAACAAAGTTACATAACGATGAAAACTCAACTCAAATGTCTATAAATTTTACAAAAAAATTACAAATACTAGATAGTAGTTATCGCCAAATCCATATACAGCGTTATTTTGAAGAATAGGACCTAAACAAAAAGGATATAATGCCGTATACGGGACTCCTGTGCTCGCCCAACCATCCGCTTGGGCGAAAAGGGAGAGAGTGACAAGTAAGGCAGGTCACCTGACTGTTTTGCGCGGGAAAGGGCAAAAGGGAGGTAACTCGTGGGTGAGTGTATTTATACGTCCGCTTCGGGAACTTCAAGGGATTTAAGTGTTCCACTACCATTCGAAAGGGAAAGGGAGATAAGCAAAAGATCATGAGTCGGGATAAGTAAAAAATGTCTTTTCTCCCTGATGAATAATCAATGTCCTCTCCTTGGGGTAGCAGAAATGTTAGTAGTGTGAGATATCTCACATATGTAACACCTGTATAGTGTTTGAATAAGTTTTTGATTTTTTTAACCCTGGTGATCACAACATCTATGGAAAATAATGATGATTGTTGAAGCTCTCTCTGTAATTCCTGAATTGTCTTCTCATGTGATGCCACTTTGATGTTCAACTCTCTTATTTTTCTTGACTTGTAATTGTTGCTTCAAATCATGTTTTTCTGCTGCCAGAGCTTGTATGTCCATTGCTGATATCCCTGAAATGACAAAATATTTGAAATGATTTATTTATAATTTCAGATCAAGCATATCAAGAATGCAACACCAACTACACACATATGTGGGAACACCAGTGTTATCTTGCCACCACCAGTGAAGCTTACCCAGGAATTTGCTCATCTAAATGATGCAGATACAATCTGTAAGGAACCCTGGTTTGATGAACGCAGGAAACGTCTAACTGCATCAAGTTTTGGAAAGCTTTTGTCCAGAAAAGAAAGACCAAATCATGGCTTCTTGAACTCTATTTTCACTAGAAGAAATATAAACGCACAATCACTAGAATATGGGAAAAAACATGAAAAAGATGCTAAGGCAAGGTACCATCAGAAATATCCAGACAGATAATTTCATGAATGCGGGTTTGTTGTAAACAATGAGTTTTCATTTTTGGGAGCAACACCTGATGGCAAGATTTGTGACAATGGTGAAAGTGGGATTGTTGAGATCAAAATGTCCCTACTGAGCACGCAACATGACCATTGACAATGCTTGTGAAGCTTTAGACTTTTTCCTTACAAAGGAAAATGGTGTAATTTCTTTGAGAAGATCTCACCATCACTACGCACAAGTACAAGGTCAGTTGATGGTTACTGGGGGCAGTTTTTGTGAATTTATTGTGCTCACTCAACTGGACATACATGTGGAGAGAATAACTCCAGATATTGCTTTCATGCAGTCAATGTTAATGAAACTAGCCATGTTCTATAGAGATCATGCGGTATCCTACCTAAAGAATGCAACTGCCGAGGAATAAATGAACACAGAATCTCCATATATACATACATGTTTCATCAGTCTGTGTAGATGTGTTGATCAGGAAGTCAGTGGACTTAATTTCTGCTTGGTCATTGGGTAACAATATCTGAACTGAAGCAGTCGACTGGGTGGATGGTTTTCCTGTGTTCAGTCTGAAAAAAGGGAATGAATAATGTTTGACATGACTATGGTGATGTTTATTATTTATTGTCATTATGAATATTATTTACATGTATTTTTCCATCATTAAAAAACGGAAATGAATCTACTCTGATGTGTGTAATTTGTGAAACATATACAAGTCAATATTCTCTCTGAGAACCGACTACACTACATAATGAAAATAGACATACATCTACAGACAGACACAAAAAATGATGACAATGAATAAGGGGATAATGGAAACTCTGGGCACTTTGAAAAAAGATATGAAAAACATAGAAATAGCAATGAAACCTAAAATTTGATTGAAGTTATCTAAAATAAATTTGCATACATACATTTCCAGAAATATTAATAATTATCCCACAATTATGATTTAGGCCTACGGTATATATGTACTTTCCATTATTGAATTTGAAGAATGCATCTAGTTTGATTTGTGTATTTTTTTAAATACACACATGTGAATATTCTCTCCGACAAGAGATGACCTCTGCTTTTTATCCGATATGCAGGGAGTGTACTGGCTTGGGCGTTTCAGGGGTAGTTTCCTGACTGGCTTGGGGCAGGCTCCGTCTGCAGGCACTGGGTCAGGATATTCTCAGCTCGGTCCTTTTCCTCCTACAAGATGCTGGAATAAAACAAAATACTATCAGATAAGACCAACAGAAATACATGTCCATTTTCCAGCTATCTATATCTAATTACGTATCAGGCCTTAAAAATTACGTCGAATCAAATGAATTGAGATCGAACTTCCTTTGCCAGAAATGGTTGCAAATGAATTTTCCAGATATATTATTGCTCCGATCTCGTGTTATAACAGTGAACATTCTGTATAAAATTAAGTATGCCTTTTTATAAATATTATTTAAGTGCAATTACTTTTACTTTAGAACATACAGCTTTGTGTTGATTTATTCGGGATAAATTTAGCTGCTCACGAGGACGACCGCAAGCTTTAATCCAGCGCTTGCATTTCTTCATTCCGTTTGACAGTTTGAAATCGGTCGAAAAAACCTCCTTCCAGCCTTTCAGAGTAACGTTAGCATTGCATGTCCCCCACGCGCATCGTAATACCATTTTCTGTGCTTTTCACCACACGGTAACTAAGGACAACGGCGTTTGTTTGTGGGTAAAATATGGCGGGCGTTTGATAGCAGATCGGCACAGAATGGAAGCTTTTTTCTGATTCGTTGATACCAGCTGTCAATCAATATACGCGGATCCATGAATTGTCCAGTATCGGATGATGTATCGCCATACCAGTGATAATCATATAATAATTAGGGGCGGTGGGGTAGCCTAGTGGTTAAAGCTTTGCTCGTCACGCCGAAGACCCGGGTTCGAATCCCCACATGGGTACAATTTGTGAAGCCCATTTCTGGTGTCCCCCACCGTGATGTTGCTGGAATATTGCTTAAAGCGGCGTAAAACCAAATTCAGTCAGTCAGTCATATAATAATTAAGCATCGTTACCGAGTCAGTATCGTCGCTCGCGATTTACATCCAGACAATGTAGAATTCATTGAAGTCAAAGTGAGTGAGTTTAGTTTTACGCCGCACTCAGTAATATTCCAGCTATATGGCGGCGGTCTGCAAATAATCGAGTCTGGACCAGGCAATCAGGTGATCAACAGTATGAGCATCATTCTACGCAATTGGGATACGATGACCAAGTTAGCGAGCCTGCCCACCCGATCCCGTTAATCACCTCTTAGGACAAGCACGGGTTACTGAAGATCAATCCTAACCCGGATCTTCACGTGTCTCTTAGTCAAAACCTAGGAGAGCGGTTACTATAAAGATCAAACATTTTCACCAGTCTCTACCAAACATGCCTGAAAGTAAATTGTCAGTTTGGTTGTAATCGTTCATATGAAGGTAGGAAACAGTTTGTCTCTACATAGGGTATCTTGGTATATTCAAATAGTCTATGTGTTCAAAGGTGACATTAACAATCAAACGAAAGAGGATCGGCAACGTGTATGTATCATAAATAGATGTTTCATGATTCAATATTTTCTAGTGTGACACTCAAAATTGGGGTACCACTCCTACCTACCTCTCATATCCTTTCTGCGAGGTAGCCCAGTCGTTTAAGCCTTCGCTTGTCACGCCAAAGACCCGGGTTCTATTCCCTACACGAGTACAATGTGTGAAGCCCATTTCTGCTGCCCCCCGCAGTGATATTGCTGGAATATTGCTAAAAGTGACCTAATTCCAGATCACTCACTCATTTAAAAAATCAGCCCTTGAAATACCACCAATTTATCTTTGAAAGGAAAATAGGTGAATATTAATTCACCTTGCTTCATTGAGACAACTTTTCGGTTTGGTACTTGGAAACCTTTCGATCCCGTTTTGTAAAGTATACATTATTGAATCTAATGGTATTGAAAAGCGTTTTATTCATTCGTTTCTTGGTAAACTGTTGAAAACAATACTCAGATAAAAGAATAAATAACACACACACACACGCACGCACTCACGCACCCACACCCACACACACAAATCATTCAACGATATCTACCCTTGATTCTCAAACTATTTACCAGGAATCTTCACGCTTTTCTTCTGTACATCGTGAACACCACTTGATGTATTACCGTCTACCTTTCGGGTCACTGGTTTACAAATCATATTCACAATCTTATTCATTTGTGCTGAGTTGTTTAGTCATTATTTACACGTACTACTCGGCTATACAGTCAAACATAACACTCGACAACCGGAACCAATACAGAATATAATGCCCTCGTCTACA